TCCCTCCTTTCTTCTCCTCACTTCCCCCAACGGGTACTCTTATTGAAAAAGTCAATAGAAGCCGTGAGACAGGCATAACTCAGCTGCTTCCATTATCTGCATCTTTGCTAAAACCCATCTTCATCAGCAGTTGATGGTGAAAAGCTTGGATTTGTGATAAGGTATAGGCATAAAGTCTCTTCTGCTGGTTGGAACTTGAGGGGTGGTATCTACCACCAGTACTAGACAAAGAGCTAGGGAGGGAGATTGGTTATATTTAGATCTGATTAATCACTGTAGGAGAGAAAGTCACCCTTGGCACTGTAGGCTAAATTTTGAGAGGATACAGATGTATTGCCACTTGAATTAAATCTCTTTCTATTTTAATTGAAGAGACTAGCAGAGTACTAATGTGAAGAAAAAGCACTTTCACATTAGTGTAGATTTGTCTTCTCCTGACACCAACGTATTTGTTGAACCAACAACCTCTTCAAAACTCAAAAATGCCATTGCAAAGACAGACTTTATGTTTGGTTGAAACACACATAACACTTAACTGGATCTGGTACATCAATGCCTGCCTTGAAATATCTAATTTTCAGATACTGATCTTCCTGCTTCTCTATGTAATATGTATTTAAGAAACAGAAGTAAAATTTATATAGCGTCACAGCATACATAGTCCAACATTTGTTTTACCTGAATAAGCATACATAAAATGCTATTAGAAATAATTTTGATTTCTAAGCAAGTTTGAGTATTTAACCACTAAGATGTGTATAAAGTGTATTTTGTCATCAGTTAGGGTTAGGGTTTGAAGAAAACTAAGTTAGAGTTTGTTCAGTATTGCTGAAAAGTATGGCTTGTTGGATTTTGATCAAAATAGAATTACTATTCCAAGATAAAAATTTTAATCAATATTTCAGTCATTTTGTCCCAAGATCTCACTAGATTATCTTCCCACACACACACACACTGAAAAGAAGAGGAAATAAGCATTTTCTGGGTTTAGACCACACATGGAATATGATAGGATCAGACATCTTTGGATTCAGGTTCCGGGAAGGCTTTTCTAGTAACTAAGAGACCCTTTGAAGTCTTTAAAGTGAGATTCCAAAGGCAACAGAGCGTGGAAAGTCCTAAAGCATCATCCAGTTGTAGTTGTAAATCCTCTTGGATAGAGTCAAAATAAACTCTGGGTTTTGCTGCTTTTTTTTCTGAACAAAATCAAATAAAATTGGCAAAATTCATAAACACGAACTGAAATGAAAGGAGTAAGCACTAATAAGGAGAGATTTCTTTTCTATCAAAGATAAAGAGTTAACAAATTGCTGTATTATCTCCAAGATTTATTCAATCACTCACTGTTTACAGTCATGAATTCAAAAAGTCTGTTTTGTGTGCCCACTTAGATTATTTTACATGAACAAGATACAAAATTTATTTTTTAATGAAAAGCATGTAGTTTAGGTTTGGACAAAGTATAATAAATGATTATCAAAGAGAAGAGTTTTTTGAATAATGACAGATTTTTCTGGGTGACCTCATCTTTTTGGCTGCTTCCTAATTCTTGCTTTAATTTTTCAGTATGTGACTCTCGGTTCTTGCTCTGCCTTTTCGTTTTCAGAATGAAAGCAAAGCTGTCAGGTGCAAAGTGATTTCCTCTGCTTAGTGGAGATCAGTGTCCTCTGATTTGCTTACTCTTGAGTTATCACCTTTATGTCCACCAGAAGGCTCTACTGCTTTCTGAAATGTGCACAGAATAATATTCTTCGGGTACCTAACAAGGTCATCACTGTTGTAAACAGAATTCAACGATTTGCTCTCACTGAAGCAGTACACACACATTTCTCGGACTAAGCAGTTAACTTCTAATATATTTTGACCCAAGTGAATGATAAATACAGATTAATTACAATTGGCAAGTGAGGATTTGGTCCAGTATTTAATATTGTAATGAAATTTCAATTCACATACATTCACTACAGTGGCTTTTGAATTAAAATTTTAAGAAATTTTAACACTCATTATTTTTGTTGTTCCTTTCATAGGATGTGTATATGTATTTTATTCTGTCACTTACTAGAGAAGTTTGAAATACGAAGACCCTAATTCCTCACCATCTTGGCATTCTTACATTTTATAGTCTCAATGGATGAGAGAAGCACTGTGAATTTTGGTACTTGCCAAAGTTATGATGAAGTTATCATTGTACAGATATTTCTCAATGTGAAGATTGCTCTTCACATTATTCATGTTTCACAATTCATGGGTTGAAAACAAGTAGTTGACTCTGCAAAACAGTCAATGCAGCTTTCTTTATGAAGCTAAGTTACGATAGTTAAAAATATGAATTTTTTCCTGTTTTGATTGATTAGCACATGGTAGTCATTCCAAAGGGAAAAGGATTCCTTTTATTTATTATGTAAGTGGAAAATTAGGATAAAATAAGAAAATACTTCTCAGAGCAACACTTTTTGTACCCATTGATTAATTTGACTGCAGCTGTTCTGGGATTCCATCCTGAGAAACATGTCTGATTTACTAATTTTCAGAACTGGAAATCATAGAACAAGAATATTTGAACACCCAGATTAATACATCTTTGTAACGGATATGATCTTTTTAAATTATGCTTTTCAGAGACCCTGGATAAAAACAGTTTAGTCTTCTAATGTTAAAAATTTTGCTTAGGGAAAATGTATTAGTCCAGGTGGGGTTTTAGGGGGGTTTGTTTTGGTTTTTTTCCTCTTGTATCATATTATTTTCTTTATGGGTATTATTATGAGCCATAAACACATCTTCAAAAAGGCTTCTTACACATTCTGTTGAATAGAGGGTATGACAAAAAAGTTTTTCACAATACTAATTTTTTGAGTTTCTCGGAAAATCCAAGTTGTCAGTGTTCACATTTTCCCAGTCCTCTTTGTCTATATCTCCCTATTTTACTTGTCCAAGAAAAACATTTGGATACTATTTCTTAGTATGCAATAGATAAATTACAGCAAAAGACTTAAAATGGTGGGAGACTTCCCACATACTTTAGTTAAATTTAGTGGAGACAATTCATCGTAGCACACATCAGTTACAAGATAAACCATTCAAGTATTGACTGTCTTTTCTCTTGATACTTGTTGCATTTACCAGAAAAAGAATTCAATTTTTTTTTTCACTGCAATATAAATGTAAGGGTTTAACGATCCAAGGTTGCCTCTCTGTAATTTGTAATAGTTAGTTACCATCACTAAATATTCATAAAATGTTCAGAAAACTACAAGAAAATGGATTGCCTTTAGCACAAGGCATTCTGATATTCTCTAATGGTTTCACTACAGAATTTCAGGGTGTCATTAGTGTGCTTCAGCAGCATGGCATCCTGCAGAGAATTGAGAACTTTTACTTGAATTTGAAATAAAGCTAAATTACTAACAAAGTTTTTACTTAAGCACCATGGAACTAAAAGCAAATTTATTCAGTTCTATATGCTGTCATAATCTCTTTAAAATGTTTGTAAATAATAACAGAAAAAATTGGGTACTGTGGATGTTCAATTATCTCAAAAAATTTAGAAGAAACTATTTCAACAATCAGTAAGTTTTTTTCCAGTGATTTTTATGGGAACAACATTTCAGTTCAAAACTAGCCCTATGGATTTCTATTGTAGCAGTGTCCTCCTGAAACTCAATGGGGGTCTTCTTGAATATGGACCAAATAATTTATTTGGCTGCTGGCCATGTGTTGTCTTTCAGAGGAAAATGGTTATTCACTATGTAATAGTGTAGGAAGAAAGGAGACATATGGAAACAAATTTTAAAAGAAACAGTAACATTAGTCAATGAAGTTTTAGCCACGCAAGTTGCCAAGCACTTAATGTAGTCATGAACTAAAGAAATAAATTATGAAGCCCACTAGCCAGGCGCTTAGCGTGCAAAAATGCTGTTCTTATAGAAAATAAACAGTCAACTTCAGTTGAAAGCTGAATCACACTAACAGTGCTTGAAGTCTGATGTATTGATTTCTTTTGCCGATGCTGTTATAAAAAGCACAATAATATGGACAACCTACATTAAAACTGTATTCAATAGCATCCTTGGAAATCTATTTGTCCTTTCAGCTGACTATAAACACTAGACCAGCGTATCTCTGGCCCCTTTTTCTTACAATTTTGTTTTGAAATACACAATATAATCCTATGTATTTTCCTGTTGTATCTTAATAAAGTAATGTCTTTTCAAGTAGATGTCATGTTTCTCTAAATAAACAATATATTTGTAATAACATGAAAGCCAAAGTGGCAAAAATAGTGACTGTAAAATCAATGCCTTCAAGGGTAAATGGAAGATATATAGGTGTTTGTGTGAAAAATACAGTTTAGTACAACAATTCGTTTGCCAGTTCAAAAATTGTATTTGGTACAGCTTTGCAAAATATTATATGTCCATTCTCTCTAGATGAGTCATGTTTTTGGAAGAAATGGGAGACAATATTTTTTCAGCATCGTGATCATTGTAATAATGAACTGCAGAAACTATAATAGATTTTGTTCCTGGCTTGGCAAACTATCTAAAAGATTTTGCAAGAGAGTTTACATAATTCTTTCCATTGAACTTTCTAGTATTGCATATGTTTTAATTGTTAACTCAAACACACCGAACTTTTAGGTAGTTTGTGGACTACATAAATGTGGTTTAATGTTTCATAAGTATTTTATGAGCAGAACTTGTGGTTATACATTTTCATGCTTACAACCTTAATTCACTTGTTAAAATAGGCTCTCTGTTTGCTAATAGTTACCAGCTGTAACTAATACGTTAGCAGATCTACAATGTAGTATTTTAAATGACGCATTTCAAAATCAATAACAAATGTCCTGTTGTAGGATTAATTGGAAAACTTGTCTTATACAATGGTCAGTACACTATACAAAATTCTTTTGAAATTACGATAAATTCAGGAATAGGAAACAATGATGTGTAACTTTCTAAAACCTTAGGAATAGGAAAAGCAAAAATATTACTTACTGTAGTTGTTGTTCGCTTCTCTTGTCCCTTTCACTTTGCCTCGCTTATCAATCCTCATATACCACTGAGTTCGACAGAAAAGTCTTCTCACTCTTACATCCCCCCCTTCCATATAATCATAGCTTCTGGTATGTCGCTCAGGGCTGGAACAGTTCACATTTGTAGCCATTTGCTCTGGAGTCATGTCATTGCAAGCTAAAGATATAGTGCCCATTAGAAAGATAATGTAAAAGTATGATCTGTAGAGCAAAATTGGCAGGATCCATGTCAGTATCCATTTGTGCATTATAGTGCAGTGTTCTGGGTGTTCATGAACAACATAATGAAAATTAAATCTCAGGTAGACTGCTGCTCTTAGGTCACCGACCTGCCTTCTGTCTTTACGAGTTACAGATTCATTTAAATGAGATTGTTCCCTCTTCTAGAATTCTGATTGTTATTCCTTAATAGTTAATGGCGAAATAGAAGAGCTTCTTAAATATCTCTTCAGTCAGAATATCCTTTAAAGACACAAGTTATAAAAACCTTTGTTGTCGTGACCTTCTGTACTACTTGAATTTGCTGCTTGCACTGAAAGTAAAAGATCTGTGAGAAAAGGTGCATGTTGTTACAAACGTGCAAGGATACATTATGCTACTGAAAAGTACTATACATAAACGTATGACATGCTAAGCTGATTTTTAACAAGATGCAAATGTACATACAATAGCTATCTCTCTCTCAACTCTTTATGTAAAGAGACATTTAAACTGATTGTAAACACAGCTCTGTCTTCAGTTTTAAGTCCTTCCAAAAATCCTCTACTGATTCAGTTGAACTATTTTCTCATGCATGGTAAAATTCTGCTGATTACTTCATACCTCTGTATTCACTGTTAGCACAATCTATCAGATAAATTTTCTCTAGTTCAAATTTCAAAACAGACCTCACAGTCTTAGCCTTGTATTTTTATTCACAGCCTTTTCAGTTTATTAATAAAAATAGTTTTCTTAATGCTTTTTTAGCGTCTAGCATATACAAATGAATATAAAACTTCTTAGCTATTAGAAACTGTTGAACATTCTTGTAAAGAACAGATAACTTACTTGTTCCTGTTGATAAGAGCTGGATACCCAAGTACTCCATTTCTGTTGTCTGCTTTTTGCAACATGAGACTCTCTACGCTAGCTACAAACTTTCTCAGCTCAGAAAGACTCCACCAGAATTATAATTGTTTCCATAAATCAACACGCTGGAGAGATGGTGTGTATGTGCTTATGCGTGCGCGTGCATGTGTGTGTTGAGCCTGTTGTTCAGTCCTTTTCGATAAATACCTTTGCTGACCTCACTTGGAAGCAATTAGAATTTAACCAGTCAGCTGTCAGTTGAATGCACGAACAAAAATAAAAGGAGACTTGCATTGTATCGTGTCCAATGGTCATCAGAGGGAGCTATGTACATAGTTTATACTTTAAATCTCCAAGAATCTACTTTCTAAAAACATAGATTCCATTAGAATCCCTTTGCATGCTAGCTAGTGTTTCTGTGCTTTGATTTAGGTCAGTAGTTTTCTGTCCTTAAAAAATTCCTCCTCCTCTCTTTTGTACTCACACGCTTATCTCGGTTTGCTTTCAAATCTCTTCTGCAGTTTGGTGGATTCATAGGCTGCTTAGTGCCTTTCTGATGGATATATGAAACATGTGGGTCCATTATGTACTGTGGAGAAGGTTATGCTGTGGCCATTATAGATCATGTGGTATACTTTTATATCATGGACTTGAAAAGAGGAACAACTGCACTGAGATTTTCATTGGATCAGCCACTAGGTGAAAATGAGAATGTATATTTGAATGTTTCAAAGTCTGACATGCAAATACAACCTTTATCAGCATGAAGTAAAAATTACTACTAGGGAATGGCCTTCCTTAGCATACATAGTTATTAGTTCTTGAACCTCACAACACCAGAACGAGAAGTGGCAGCAATGAAAGAAAAACCCTTATGCTGCATACCAACCAATGGGTGACCAGCAGGCTTAACATATAGAGGATCGAAATAATGGGTAGATATGTCTGGTTTTCTGCTTCTGTATGCTTATTTCCATCTTTGACACCTGTCTGCTATCCAAAGTCCATGTTCCGTTTCACCCTTCAATTCTGTTGGGTTTCTGGTGAATGTTTCATGCTGAAGCTAAGTTTTCAATAGCTCCTTATCCTGTTTAATTTCCACACTGTTGATGTGAATATACCTCAGACCCTTTAGTAAGTAATAGTAACAAGGAAAGTTTGGAATTAGTCCACATATTAAAAATAGCTTACTTACCATTAGTTGCCTGTACTTGATAACATAATGCAGTTTATCATTGCCTGCTTTTATACCAGCCCCACTCCTTCCTCTCTGTAGAAATGGATAACAGTTACATCTTAAAAATGAAGTAAACTGTAGAGGCAGTTAAAAATCATAGGCAGTACATCTGTGCCACTTTGAGGTGAGTGGTACATAATTAAATTGGGGCTTTTCACTGGAGAGATCCAAAATGAGCCTAAAGGTGTATGGCACCAGGCAACCTTGTCTTACTCAGCCTTTCCTATACGCAAACACAGAGAATGAGTCATTTCCTTCCTTGACATCCTCAGCTTCCTTCTCAGTGCTCGCTTGGATTAATCCTATTTGTCACTCGCTTTGCATTCTTTTTTTAACCATTTTCACTTGAAGTCCAAAGTTGAACAACTTTTCTTGCCATTATCTCCATTTCAGCATGTTGGGCTGAAATTGGCCCCATATTCTGTGGCTCAGCCTAATTTTCCTAGTTCAGCAAAAGGCTCAATATGTGCGCTTTTACAACATGAAAGGTATGATGCTTAGGGCTTTCAAAGGCTGATGCCTGCAGTAGATACACAAAGTGGCTTTCATTAAGTTAACTCTTGTAAACTGTGATTGCAGCTATTTCCAGTTTGACTGATATCTTGTCAAACCACGACCACCATTCTGACAAGAAGTGGGGGCTGAAGTGATTTATCCCAGTTGTGATTTTTGCCAATACATTTGCTGGATTTATATCAGTATGTTCTCTGATCCATTCTGCAGTCTGAAATCAGAATGATAGCAATGAAAAAAATTCCTGGTATTCAAAAGGTTTATCTGTTGTGTATTATAAAGAAAGCAGTTGAGGATAAAAGGTAATCTGTGTTTTACTCAGCAAAGTAGGATGCAAGTAGAAATATTTTTGCAAATATTCTGTGTCTTGGTCTTTTATGTGCAGTACCAACTTTCACTTTCAGATCCATACTGGTTTTAATTTTTCTTTTTCCTTGCTAACTTATTGTTTCTGACAGTTAGTAACAGGAGAAAAAAATACATACCTGAGGTTTTGGTTCCAGAAAGCTGGAGCTGCTCGTGGTCCAGGCATGGACATGCATTTCTCTTGAGTCTGAAAAAATAAATCACTTCCTGTAAATGTAGTTTTTGAGTGGTTCTTCAGTTTGGATCTTTATGAAGTTTTGTATTTAGATAAAATGAAAAGCAGTTTAACTAAGGCAATAGCTCTAAGTTTAATCAGTGAAAAAATGCAGTTAATCTTTAATTACTACTGATAACATTCATATCCTTACATTTTCTAATTATAGAATAACTTTTTTCCACAATGCTTTAACTGCAGTTTTGTTTAGTCACACAGTTTTATGTCTTGCTGTACAACTGTATATTTTTTAACTAAAGGATGCCATCTTGATCTGCATATGCAAGTCAGGATTCTTCGCATAAATCTCTGATCCCTTGAATGATCCAACCCACTTCTGTTTAAACCAAGCATAACTAATATCTCTCGCAAATTGAACCGGTTTAGTTTTATGGAAGATTTAGCTTGACTGGCACTTCTTCCTCTGTCTCCTTACAAATGTGCAGGCCCAGAGCTTTTCAAATCCAATCCCAAGCAAGTCCTTAATGATATAAAGAAATTGTCCATCTAAATTGCTAATGATTTTGTGCTGCTTTGGTGAGATTGTATTTCAAGAATGGTGTTAAGGATCAGGATCACATAAAACATGAAAATGTGCAAAATACAGATGCTGTAAGCCATCCTTTACTATTTAAACCTGCCCCCTTTACATTAACCCATGCATTGGTTCCTCCTTTCTGGTTGATAGACAGTTGTCCGTAGCATTGCTATAGTGCACATGCTGAGAAGAAAAAAGTGGAAATGAATTGCAAGCACTTTGCTTCCAATTATGAAGATTGTGCATAGGCCTCCAGCTCAAATAGAAACAGCTTAATAAAGTCTATTCCCTTTTCCCTTCACATAGGAAATTACTTTTTGTCCTTTTAGATGAAAACATGACTATAGGGATCCATGCTTTCCTCATCTCCAGGCTGGCCTCTTGTAATATGTACCACCCAGGTTTGGCATTGGGTCATGAATGCAACTTTTTTAAAAAAAACTCGGTTTTGCCCAGCTTGCCCTCAGGCCAATGCATACCTGCTAAGAAACTATCATTCTGCTGCTTCTTGTTCCCTGATCCATTTCAAATTTGCTTTAGAATATCTCCCAGAACTTTCAGAATTTAAGACAGTAGGAAGATAAAAATCTCTGTATCGGACATTAAACCTAAGATGTTGGGTTTTAGTGCTCTCTGACAACAGCTAAAATGGGATTGAAAGGTCCTAAGGAAAAAATTCCACAGATGTGAATGTGCTAAATGTTCTCATGGTTAAATCCTTATCTTTAGTTCCTTGATCTCAGAAATCAGGATTAGATCAAGATTTTGCTACATGCAAAAGATACAAGAAAAATGCTACTGTTTGTGCAAATCTTCTATCAAGAGTGATATCTGAAAACACTGGAAATTGAATGCAAAATAAACTCAATTAACAAGGCAGTAGAAACAAAAGAGAGTTGGAGGAATATTGCACTTCAGTTTGGATTTATCTTTTCAGGTTGCAAACTTAAATGTAACTAAGATTAAAAAACATAATTATGAATCCTTTGTCTGCCTGACTGTAAGAATGTCTTTTTCATTTTGCTGAGTGGTATGGGCTATTAACATCATATTGAAAAGACATCAATAAATTTTTCCTAGCAATTTTCTAAACAGATCCCTTAAACATCATTCATTTCTTTGTTTCTTCCTATTCATCCAGATCGTATTCAGCTGATATAAATCTACAGGAAAATTGGAATGGGATGCAGTAGATACTTGGGGGGTGGGGGGATGACCCCCCAAAAAGCCCCAAACCAAACTATCAAATAGTTGACACTACATAACAACTTCCTTTTTTTGTTAATTAGCTACAGCAAATTTTTTTACATAGCTTATTTTAGGGGAAACAAGGGCTGGGAATACCTTAGTCCACTCACTAATAAACTTAAAAGGTAAAGCCATCCAGGATTTTTTCACTAGGACGAGTATCATTATGTTGACTTTTGAAAGAGGTGATAGAATGAAAAACATAATGTGATGGCAGTCAAATGAATCCTTCCTTTCTGAATGGAGTTTGCAGGGTATATGGTTATGATAGGTCTTCTTGTTATTCATAACTTGATAACCCTCAACTTCAAGGCATCCTACTTGTGGTGACCTCAGGACACTCAGACTGTGATTATCATAACCTGAGGTGTTGCTGCAGAATTGAATTGTAACAGTACATTTTTGGTGGAGATACAAAAAAAATACAGAACTGATATGAGAAAATACTGAGGAGAACCATTTGGGTTTATCTTACTTATTACCGGGTATGGAGGTCAGAGTTCTGTCTTTCTGAAGTGATCCATACGTTTGTATTCAAATTTTACTTTTACAGAAATACTTACTATGTAGTGATTTCTTCTGCCTGATTTTAAATATATTAAAAAAAAAAAAGTGTAGCATCTTTTTATATACACACATGGTTGGATAACAATCAGCTTTAAGACCTAGATTTGTGGAACTTTTTAAGATACTTTAGCAAACTTGCAGAAAACTATTGTTCCAATGACTTTACATGTAATCATTACATTTTACATTAGTAGCAATAAATATAAAATAAGGTATCTATGTTTAGCTTTTAACTCCGGTTATAGCTATACATAGGTATGAATATTGCATATAATTCAAGACTGAATTATGCCAATTACTTCTGTGTTTTTTTCTTTTCTAAGTGGTCAAACAAGGTAGCCATTTTTAACCCTTCATATAGGTCCATATATAGCATAATGATTATTATAATTTACTTGTTGGATAAAAGTTTTATGGACCATATAAAAATAATTTGAATAACATCTAAGCAAGAATAAAGCTTTGCTGCCATGATAATATATATCCATTAT